CATGGAAGGTGACAACGCAAAATGTTTTCCCATACTAGGAGAGAAGTGAATAAACTTCCTAGGCTGGGTTAAATAGGGTCCCTACCTCCATGATGCTATATGGGCTTACTTTGGCTCAGATGCCACTAGGGGAGAAGAAAAGGATGAATAAAAAAGATTTTAAAAAATGCAAAGTTCTGTTTCAAAAAAGAGTAACATGAGTTTGACCAAGTTTTAAAGCAGAAGTGGCTCAAGTCACTTTGAGGAACAGGAATACAATTTAAACCAGCAGCAAAAATGGCAACTGAGTTTAGTTTTTTTAAAAAAAAATGCATTTCTAAACAATTGACTTGAAGAATGTTTTTACCTGGTGCATATATTCTTTATCAGATAGTGAAGTACAAATGTGTCCCTTTAAAAATAGAACAAAACATTTCTTCAGTTGAATGTAGAGGGTCAGAGGGGTGCACAAAAATTTCAAAAAGAACTGTCATGAAAACTGTATTTTCATGGAAAGGTCTCTCTCATATGTCCTCTACTCTAATTTCTTGGTCATTTAAATGTAACATGATTCAATCTAAATATTTTTTTCTTCCCTAAACCTATCCCCAATCCTATATTCTCTACCTATATTAGTCTACTTTCTGTTATTATAGCTTTTTGGGGGACTGGGGGTAACTGGGGATTGAAATTGAACCCAGAGCAGTTAAGCACTGAGCCACATCCCCAGCTCTTTTAATTTTTTATTTAGAGACAGGGTCTCACTGAGTTGCTTAGAGCCTCAATAAGTTGCTGAGGCTGGCTTTGAACTTGCAATCCTCTTGCCTCAGCCTCCTAAGCTGCTGGGATGATAGGCGTGCACCACCAAGCCAGCTTCCCCATAGTATTTTTTTAAACAGTTTAACTTGCATCTACCTATAAACTATCATAGCTATTAAAAATGTGAGCGTAAAGCAATTACAAGGGTTTGTTACTCTGGAAGTTCTTCCTCATATTCATAAGGGCCCCAGGAAGCCTCAGTACTTACAGTTCCTTAAGATTCCTCATCGTGATAAAGGTGTCCAGCTGCACAGACCTGATGGCATTCTCTCCCAGGTCCCTGAAACACAACACAAGGACTTGTGCCAAGAAACCCCAGGTGCCCTTCCAGCCAGCCCCGTGTCTGAGCCAGGAGACCCGGAGGTTTTCCCTGACAGCCTTGGTTTCAGGTGACCCAGAGGTGATAACTCCACAGGAAGTGGCTCTCACACGTGTTGACACAGCACATGCGGTGACACGGGGACCCAACCTGTCTGAAGGGCAGCACAGAGGCGGGTGCAGGCCTGCTCAGCAAGTCAACTGCCACAGGCTCTCCCAGCAGAACCAGGGTTGAACTTGGTGCAGGGGTTGAACTTGGTGCAAAGAGGAAACAGACTCAAGCCCACCCACTCGAAGGAGCTACCCCAGATGGATGTGAAGTTCTCAGGGCTGGCTGGTCCCCTTACTCCCAGGGCCAGCCAGAGAAGCTCCCAGTGGGGTGCC